TAAGCCAAAAAACTCAGCCTTTAACGCACTTGCTAATTTATTAACTTCGCGAAAACAATGTGCCGAATTCCCATGAAGCGCAACAAATAGACACACATATGTACATCATTGATTTGCTGTTGGTTGTGCATGCCACTACAGCGTTGGAAAATGGAATTCGGCTAGACAAAGGCAGGATTCCCATAAAAAAACAGGGCTAAATTACTTTACCATATCAATTCTAATTTGAACATACTTATGGACATATGTATGCATGTATTAAAATATAATTGGATTGATTGAATGTTGATCTGTTGAACTAACATTGTTGAGTTTTGTTTTGTGCAGAATTTGCATGAAGCGAAACAGAATTTTCCATGCTGTTATATATATTCTGTATGCTACTACAGCGACGTAAAATAACGTTTCTGCTGCGCAGCGACAACTGATTTTTTTAAAGAACTTCATCTTTATGAAATAAAGGAAAAGCTGAAGATGAATGTATGTATGCCACATCAAGTTCGCGAAAACAATGCGCCAAATTCCTATGAAGCCCAACAAATAGATATACGTACATACATATGTACATCATTGATTTGCTGTTGTTTGTGCAATCCACTACAGCGTTGAAAAATTGGAATTCGGGTACACAGAGGCAGGATTCCCATAAAAAACAGGGCTAAAATACTTTACCATATCAATTCTAATTTGAACATACTTATGTACATATGTATGCATGTATTAAAATCTAATGGGATTGATTGAATGTTGATCTGTTGAACTAACATTGTTGAGTTTTGTTTTGTGCAGAATTTGCATGAAACGAAACAGGCATTTCTTTGTGTTATTTATTCTTAATGCTACTACAGCGATGTAAAATTAGGTTTCTGATACGCAGCGGCAACTTTTTTTTCACGAACTTCATCTTTATGAAAAAAAAGCAAAAGCTGAAGATCAATGTGTATACATATACCACACCAAGAAGCTTACAGTGAGCATGTGCCGATATCGCGGCAAGCAGCATTTTGAAGTAAGAAAGACAGCAGCTGAGTATAAGAAGGTAAGAGAATTGAGAGAAATATGTATGTGGTTTGTTGATGCTCTCTAAACACAATCGCGTGAAGGGCAAGCGGTCTAGCAATGCGTGGTATTGTTGATCAACTTAATACTTTAATTAAACATACTTATTATTAAAATTTTATTTTAAAAATACCGCTGTGTCCTATTGTGGTAGAAATAGGTAATTTTAAAACTTGAATCATAGAAATCGACCCAGTACATCGGCTGTTTTGCTCTCACGTTTTTTTGGGCTTTAATTTTATATATAGTATAGATATAGTATAGATAGATTACGCCCGCCGCACATGCTCACGCTCGTACTGGTTATCACGAGCCGAGCGACTGGCAGACTTTGAAACCATTGACGTTATACCGAACACCGTGGCTTCGTACGCACTTACATGAGCGTGTTTGCGAGTGTCGTGGGAGTGTAACTAGGTATCAGATACACCTTTTTCGAGTGGCAGTGTGGCCAATGTCTTTAATAATCATGGAGGAGGAGCTAGTTGAAGGCGTGCGAAGCGAAAAATATCCATACGTCATGAAATATCCAGATTACATGAAAATCAAATTTAAAAATTCAGTCTGGAGACGAATTGATGACGAAATCGCTAAAAACTCATGTATGCAAGTGCGGATGCACACGAGTTGACCAATGTCGGTGCCACATCAGCGCAGTGATACCAATAACAATAAACGTGAAAAATTTTAAGTTTTTTACAATTAAAGAAATTAAACTTAATTTAAATAGCGTTTATATTTCCAGTTTATAAAAATGAGCCTTTGGCTGCGCTTAGGGATTATAACCCTTTCTAAGCAGAATTCTCCTTTCTGTGTTGCCGGAGAAGAGTGGCAGCACTTCTTTCTGCGTAAGTGGCCTTCGGCATAATCTTTACTACGCAGAATTCTCGTTTCTGGGTCAGATCTCTTCTAATTGGTTCATGTTCATTTAATGCATTTATTAACGTGAACTTAGTACTGACAAAGTTGAGCTGAATGAAACGGTTTTTTGCAAATTACTTTTGTACGGTTTAAAAAAATCAGTTTCCGCTTTCGGATTCTTAAGCTGATGCCACATAAAACTTTTGCTTAGCTTTGCGTGACAGATTCGCTTTGGCAGATAACATGAATTGTATGAAAATGTGCCTGGTGGACTGATTAGGCATACGAAAATAAAAGTTAAACAAGTGAAATTTTAGGCAAATATATATATATATATATATATATGTACAAACATATATACATATATTTTATTGTTATTCTATGAAGGTATGTTGGGGACACGGAACGAATGTTGATTATGGAAGGCGGAACGGAACACCTTCGTTGAGGATTGTTGTTGCCGATTTAACACCAAATTGCGATACACATGTGCACAATTGTCTGTGTCCGTTTTAAAGTTGATCCTTCTCTCATTAGGGGTGTTCGTCATAGGTAACATTTCCAAAATATAGCGTTTATTATAGTTCTTTTCTTCTTGCAGAATGGCAACATTATCGAAATCGGAATAGTGTCCCGTATCCCTACAGTGTGCTGACAAGGCTGTCAGTTCTGAAGATGACCTCAGATTGAGGCCGAAATATCAACAATTAAAATATCAATTTGCGTTTTATTTAATTGCTGCTCGAGCTTGTTAAAAAATGATTCATAATTTAAGCAAAATATATAAAATCCAAAGCAATTTTGACGAGTAAAAAAAGCAGTACAAAATTGTTTTCTTGACGTTCATTGTGGCATACCTTTTGCGTCTGGCGCTTTGCTTGCAAAGTTATAAATGTCACGCAAAGCTACAAAGTTTTAGCTGGCTTCGGTTTTAATACTTAGTGCGCGTCGTTTGTTACTCCTTTCGATTATTTTGCATAAATTTTCGGTGGGGACCATGATTCAATAATACAAGGTTGGATAACCTCGCAGTTGTC